AGTGGTACTTGTTCAGAATGTTAACAAATATACATACCTGTTGCTCATTCTGCACATTTGAAAGAAACATATTCTAATTTGCAAAATGTTCTTGAAAAAAATCTATTAAAATCAAGATTACTGGCTCATAATGTGGTGACCTAAAAGTTAACATGTATATTGCTCGATCAGCAGTCAGGATATACAAAATACCCATGTTTTCTGCATGTGGGACAGAAAAGCTAAGAATTTACATTAAGTACAGAAGGAATGGTCAAAAAGAAATAATCTACAGGTTGGTGCCAAAAACAACATCAAACCTAACAATTGTTCTGCAGCCACTGCTTCATATTAAGTTTGGGTTAATAAAGCAGTTTGTTAAAGTCCTATCAAAAGATGGAACTTGTTTTATATATTTGTGACAAAAAAACTTCTTGGTTTGTTTGAAGTTAAATTGAAAGCATATATTTACAAGATCTGATATTAGGTAACCTTTTTTTCTGATGCAGTCTTTGATGATGCAATTTAATGACATGGAATGTAATCAATCAAAGAAATCATTTTGAAGTTCTTAGGTAATAATGAGGATACAAATTACAAACAAATTATGAGAAATATTTCAGGTTTAAAGAAATGGGTTGCAACACGAGTCTCAATAGTTCCCTTTTTTTTATTCAAATTTGGATTCTTAGTCTTAGAGTAGTGAGGGTGAAAGATTTCATCAAGATATAAAGTAGGTACCTCCACTAATTAACAGCATAGCATGATGAAAAAAGGCCCCAAACTTCATAAAAACAGTTTTATTGTTAAAAGGTTTATGTTACTATTAAGAGGAAAGACCAAAATATTTTTTATGATTTTATTAAATTTTTTAATCCTTTCTAGCGCATCCTAAATTTGGTTAAAATTTTTTTTTTTTTGTCAGCAAACACAAAAAAGATTATTATGGGAGTTTTAGCACCTTTCAAGGTTTTGGAAATTTGGGGGAAAAAAATCAAATAATTGTCAGATTTTAATGAAACTGTCAGGACTTATTCACAAATGAATTAAATTATTTTTGAAATTTTTTCTTTTATAGAAAATCCAGGTAATTTTTTTTTTTTTCTGTTACCCTAACTTACTTAATTTTATGAAATTTTGAAAAATTAAAATTTCAGCCTCTTCATATTTATAGAAGTTAAAAGCAGGAATCCTTGGAGAATTTTAGTAATTATTTTGTTTTAGCCAAGCAGGAACACCTTTTACTGAAAATCTGCTCTGAATCATAAAATAAAAATGCAACAAAACTATGACATTATTTATTTAGGAAAGCTTTCAATTGCTTATATATATATATATATATATATATATATATATATATATATATATATATATATATATATTAAGGACACTATTGTCTTAAAAAATTTTTTTTGATGAATAATGAATTTTTACAAGAATTGTTTTCATTTTTTAAAATTTTAATTAGAAAAGTTTTAAATCTTTTAAAATTCTTTATTAATTTTAGCCATTCAGATTATATTATTATTAAGTGAAAACTATATTTATTAATCATAAATGGTAAAGTTTAATACAAGTCATTGAACACAAAGATTTTTAAAAGTATTTTGAATTATTTTTTATATATATATATATATATACATGCCCATTTTTTGAAAGTATGTGTGACCGTACATGACATCAACAGAAAATAGAAATGATGACTATTGTAAATTTAAAGTCAACATTTCTAAAATTAGATTAAGAAGAATATTTTCCAACATTTTTAATATTACTAAGTACTTAAAAATTATATAAAAAGGCCCTCACCTGTCATTTTCTGTAGAATAACAATGAACTTCTCATCACTTTTCATAGTTTGTCAAACATGTAAACAAGGCTATTTGTTATAGTGGAACAAACCTATTCTATAGTTAATAGACTCTCCCACCTATAATAAGTAGGAGTAGTAAGAGGAGTGGCTCAGTGGGTCAGTCAGTCAGTCAGTCAGTCGATGCCGAACAACCGTTAGTCGGATACTAAAGTATCAGTGACCACAACTAGATTTACTCTGCGTTATACCTATTATATCAAGTTCCTAACGTTTTGTACGTCGAACCTTTTTTAGGATCGACTTAGTACAAATACAAGCCTCCACTGTGAAATCACTCCATAACACTATTGTTGGTTAAAAACACATCTACTGTTTAGTTTAAAAATGCATTTGTATTATTTTAAACTTAAAGTAAATAATATTTTTTTAATCATTTCACCTCAAGCAAGGTGTGAATGCCAAAAGTACAGAGGGGGTCACAGATAGTGAATGTGAGAGAAAATACTGGGCATAGTGGGGGGGGGGACAAGGAAAGGATAAAAACTGAAATGTGTTCAAGATAGAAGATGGTGATTGAAATTGCATTTAAATTTTTGAAGACTGTAGTTATCAGGGAAGCAAGTAAATGGAAGGAAGTTCCACAGGTGGCAAGTGTGAGAAAAGAAACTGTTGGAGTAGAAGTGGTGGTTACATTAAACTAATTCAACAGTAAAAGGTTGGCATCTAGATGCCAATTTAGTAGCTCACTTAAACTCATGTAGTCCGGGCACCTGGGAATAAAGCATGTCAGAGCAGTAGCCATGAAAATATTTGTAGAAAAGACAGAGGGAAGCCACATCAGGTCGATGAAAAAGTGACTGAAGTCGAGATGCCAAGTCAGGATCGATTATATTGCAAATCCTTCTTTAGATTTTGTTAAGAACCTCAAGATCAGTAGCATGAGAACCTGACTAGATATGGCAATGGTATTCAATGCACAGACAATGGTAGATTTGTAAATGTGCAAGATGTAATCTGAAGTGAAAAACCTTCTGGCACGACACTAACTCAACTTTCCTTGCATTGTTTCAAACCAGATTAATTATACCTTAAAACAGCTAATATTCATCAAATAAAGCTCCAGAAAAGTATATTTTACTTTTGGAAGACTTTTTAATAAAGAGAATTACATTGCAATTAAAGGTAATTAAAAAAAGGGCACTAATCTGCTACTTTTAGCAAAAAAAAAAAAAAAAAAAAAAAATGATTCCAATCAAAATATAATTTCTGCTTGAAATGCACCAGAACATTCTGCTTACTGGAAATAGTAAATTTAATCCTTTAGCTTTCAATTAAAGCTAAAATGAAATCTTCATTTTTAAAAAATCATTTTAAACCTTAGGTATCATGAATTAATGGAGGTATCTAATATAAAGGACCAGGAAAAAGAGTTCCAGGAGTGTTAGTATATCAGAATGATGGCAAATTATATTTGGATAATTCATAAGGAAGCACCAGCAACAAATCTACAGACTGCCTATCAGAGAAAGTTTTGAAGGAAAAATTTACAAGTTACAAAAGATAAAGAAGTTACATGTAAATAATGGAATATAGAGAGTTGTTTATAAATAGGACAATAGGAAAACTGCAATAGTTGCTAACAGGTTTCATCCAATGTAGACTTTTTCAAGGCAAAAATAACAAAATGAATTTATTAAACAAAGTAACTAATAATAACAAAATAAAATGTCATTAGCAACTGGAAGAATTTTGAGAACGCTATTTTCATACTGTTAACTGAAAATTATGTCAATACTGTCACGTGTAGAGATATTGTTTTTATTGCTGTGTTGACCGATTCAACCATTTGCTTTTGATTTCTTGATACTGTTGTGTACATTTGTTTGGGAGAGTAGTAATTCTGTTAAGAAAGGTGAAATAGGGAAAAAGCCTGGGTGTAGATTAATATTTGGATAATATTCAATGGCGGCACTCTCAAGGATTTTTCTTCTGAGTGAGTTATTTTCTTTTTTATGAGTGTAGCATTTTTAAAATCAAAATTGTGATTGAATTTATTTCTATGTATGACTAGTACATTAGCTAAGTTGTTTTTTTGTGAGGTCTCTTTTGTTCTCATAAATGCGTTTTTTTTAACTTCTACTTGCAATATGGAAAAAATATTTTCATAGAAATTTAAAATAATGATAAATAAATTTACTGAAATTTATTATTTGCTATATTTTCATTATTTCTTAGTTTTGCATTAAAATGTGAACTACCAAAAACATCCTAAATGTATTTTTTTATTTTGTTCATAAATTTAATAAGAATAGACATGGTGACCTATCACCCAGTTCACACTCCTTTCCTATCTTTTGAACAAGATTAATGCTTTATCACTGGTTTCCTGCTTAGGACTGGGTTCCCAGTTCCTTCTCCTAAAGTCTTGTCATTTTTTTTTTTCATTCCCATTAATTCCTTGTGTCTTAGTGGCATTATCACCTTGCTTGAAGTGTAATGATTAAAAATAAATAAATAAACAAAAAACTGAAAATAAAAATCCCCAGTCAAAATTTAATTTTAATGATTTTAATTTTTTAAACCTGTGTAATCAACTTAAAATAATTTTATTCTACTAAATAAGTGAAAATTTGGTAAATTAAAAAAAAAAATTCAGCCACTTGTATACAGTTAGAAAAAGTTATATAATCTATGATTTCCCCTTGAAAAGATGTACTTCTGTGCCAAATTTCAGTTTCCTAGGTGAAAAATTGTAGCCTACAACTTGGAACATACACACATTGATTTATATATAAGATAAATAAAGATAATTTGTTTCACTTAATTTCTGTCTGAATTTATGGGACAAGGAGTCATTATTATTTAAATATGGTCTATTGAATTAGGTGACATAGTAATTGTAAGTTCAATCCCTATGCTGGGCAGTGTGTACATAGTAGAAATGGGGCAAGGAATTACTGAGCAGTACTAAAATAAGAATAAAGAAAGAAAGAATAAAAATAAATAACTAGATGAGATATTCCTAGACATGGGCAGTGGAACAAGAACAATGAACCTCCATAGATTAAATAAAGTGTTCAGTTTAAAATTTACTGTAGATTACCTGGATTGACATACACCCAATAAAGCCTGGAGTGCACAATGGCTTACACGTAATAACAACAATAAAGATTAGGACAAGAGTCTGCATGTAAATTATTTAACTTACTTGAATGGTTTTTCTCCTGTGTGGATTCGCAGGTGAAGTTGCAACATGGCTTTCCGTGCTGTGGAATGGCCACAATATGAACAGACATAAGGCTTGATCTTACTGTGCACAGCTTGAATGTGTTTATTTAGACACTTTTGATTGGCAAATGACCGTTTACAAATATCACACTGTTTGGTTGTGTACCATCGGTCAGCCTCGTTTGACTGGTATTCCACATGAATCATTTGGTGGTTACGCATCTGACTAAACTGTTTGAATCCTTTCCAGCAAACATCACATGTGTAAGGCCTCTCATCGCCATGTATTTCTTTATGGACCAACAGCTTGTGAATTGTGTCCGTCCGAAAATCACAGCCATTACAAGGAAACAAATCTGTGTCTATAGAATGGTTCCGCCACAAGTGCATCCTTAGGTGTTTCCACAGTGAAAACTCAAGGACGCAAACAGTGCAAACGAAATAGGATTTATCATTGTCTTTTTTGTGGCACATATTATGGATCTTAAGACTTTGTTCTTTCTTAAACTTAGCAAAACATCCTTGCATACTACATTTGAGATTATAACCTTCACTGAGCATTAAAGTCTCCTTTGTTCGCTTCTTCTTTTTGCCCAAATAGTAATCCTCTTTTAAGGCCTTTGGTGGACGTATCTTTCGACGGTTTCTACCCTTGCGAGAATACCACTCGCTGGAATCATCTTCCTCCCAGTCTTTATCTGATGTAGGAGACGGTGACCTAAGTGGAGCTGGGTTTTTACGCTTACGACCTGGCTTCTTTCTTGCTGACATTACCTGGGTGCCAACACTAACTCGTGTGACAGAATCAACATTTGAGCTACTCCCTTGGCTGGGAGGTAGGACATTGTGCACCTGGACCATGTGATTTTTACATTCCTCAATAGTGTCGAATCCAATACTGCACTGGCCACAGAGAAACAGCTCTTTTGTTTTTACTGGGCTGGTTCCAATTTGGGCTTCAGACAAAATAGAATCTGAAGAGGCAACAGAAAAATGGCTAATAGTCTGGGAATCAAGTGCTGACTGACTGAGAAAAGTTATAGAATTGCCATCACTGACTGCTGTTTCCATGGGGAGGTAGGATGATACAATATTGCCTGCAGAGGTCAAGATGTCACTCTGAGTTGCTATCACTTGGGGTTGTGTAACAGCTGCTTGTGTGAAGATAACTTGCTGATCACTAGTTTGGGATCCCATCATGGTTGATAATTGGGATTTATCAATCATGGAGACTCTTTCTGCAGGTGAGAAAGTCTGAAGAGCTTGTGAAGATTCTGAAGAATGTATTTTAATAGATTTTTGTGTATCTTCCTCAATACTAACTTTGGTAGTACAGTTTCCAACCTGCTCAGCACTTTGTGAGGAGGGAATGTCCATAGCTGCTGAACTAGTGGGTAGTGCTGCTGAGGGTGGAGCAGCAGGTGCAATGGTTGTTTTCATATGCACATTGCGCACATGGCTGCTAACCCCTTGAGGGTGGGAACATGTAAAGCTACAAACTCGACATTTATAAGTGGTGACAACATCCATATAATCGGTAAGATTTGTATCAGAAAAGGTACTAGCAGGTGTTGCAACTACCGACTCCATTTCAGTTGAATTAGAAGCAGAATCCATGCTGAAAGAAAGACAAATGAAAAATATCAATAAAATGAACAAGAAATGATGTTTAATGAACCAACTTCCATTTTCATGGAAACCTCAAGTCAAAATAATTGATCTCTCCTCATTACTTGCTCTGACAACCACCCTTTAGTTAGACACATTAGTTTCAGGAGAAAAATGGTGAAACTCAAAGAAAAGAAAACTGGAAACAATGAAATAAAATTTGGTGACATTGTGAGTTCAATCCCTGGACTAGGTAATATAGACTTAATGGAAACAGGGCAAGCAATAACTAAGCAATATTAAATAAACAACATATTTCTAGACATGGACAGTGGAATAAGAACAACCTACCTTTGTAAATCAATTCCCTGGTTTAACCAGACTGACAGACATATGAAGAAGACCAGAGAACATAACAACCAAAATATTGTAATAACAACAAAGATGAAGACATTAGTCTAAATATAAATAATGAAACTCAGAGAAATTTAAACAGAAAATACAATAAAAATAATACAGAAATGGAAACAATGGCAATCAGACAGCAAAAAACAATATAAAAAAAAGAAATATATAGATCTCTGACAAAATGTCTCCTGTTTTGCTGAGTTACTTCTGAATACAATTTCTCTAAACGCCCATTTAAACTTGCTTAGAATTAATAGAAACATTAAATATCATGTAGGCACTTCACCAGTGAGAATAAACGATTTTCCCCTCCCCATTAATCATTTTGAAGATAATCATGTCATCAAAGAAGTTTATTAGAAAAGAAGATAAAACTGAAGAGAAAAGAATTAATAAAGTCAGAACAGAAATAGAAACAATGAGAAACAAACCAACAGAAAAAAGAAAAGTTATAAATATTTTATCGAGGAGAAAGAGAATATTCAAATTGCATGACTGAATAAATATTTCATCAATGATTGCTTGGAGGCACAAAAATAAGGATTTTGCTCAGACAAGCAAGCAAAGATAATGTTATTTAATTTTAAAAGATTAAAATAAAAAGAATTAAAGCATTTCAAACTAACAAAAGACAGTTTTATTTAAATTTATTTTGTAATAAAGTGATAAATATAATAATATTTTAAAATAGTTTATTAATATTCAATGAATATATTGAACAATCCACACCTTCATACTTGTTTTCTGTCTATTAATTTGAGAGTTGTTAATATTCTATGAATGTTTTGGATTATCCCCATCTTCATTGTTGGTTTTCTATGAGATTTATATTCATTAATATTTTTAACTAACTTTACTTTTGATGTGTTCTTTCACAATGTTTTGGTCAATTCATTCTCTACTTGCTAGAGAGTTCATCAATGTAAGTGAAAAACTTCAAGAAATTATTTTAAAAAATACAAAATGAATCAAAGATTTTCCAAAATCATAAATATTTCAGTCTCTATATTCCAGAGCAAGAGAGAGAGAGAATTCCGGAACATCAAAAAATATTCAGTTTATTACAAGTTAAAAATGTGTCAATTAGAAGTTAAAAATGTGTCAATTTCAAGCTTTTCTTCATTCCAATAAACAATTTTGACACACACAAAAAAATAAAAAAAATGTCAGGTTTAAAACATTCATATTTGAATTATTATGAAGAGACACTTTAATTATAAAATAAATCTCATAAAAAGCTTTTCAAAATTATTTTGTAAAACATTTTTACTATTAATATATAAAAATGCATTAAAAATATTGAATGAAGAAAAATATTTTATGTTGTGTAAGAAAAACAAAACTCATAGATAGAAACGTTCTTAAATTTTCTGTTTTGTATACGATTTTGCAAAAGAAGACTTGTTGTGATGAGATAACCCAACTTCCCCATTCACGATAATGGACGGACTGGTTGCCAATTAAGTACGACCACCACGGACAGTAGAAAAAGGTCTTCGTTTGTTAACACCTATTGAGGTTAGCATACTCCCGACTTTGTCTCTGTATTTTGACATACCTACATCCGATTATGAAATTATCATTGAAAACCAACACTCGGGTTTACTTTGTTTATTATATCTTGCACGAGATATAACAAGACTTAAGACTGTAAAATCAGATTTCAATTGGTTGGAGTTAAAACTCATCTGAAAATCCAATTTTAGACTAAAGTTTTCATAAAAACATTAAGAATATCTACTGATCAGAAAATAAATTGTTAGTTTCAATCCAACTAGGAAAGATTTATTTCTGGTTTCATACCGAAATTTTGGCATAGACCAGAGGGGAAGTAGAGAAAGGGTGGTTTTTATTAGCTATCCAAGTCACAACCCATTCATTTATTATAATATACTCATTCACCACAACAACTCATCCATCACCATTCAATCCTGCATATACCACAATACCATATATTCACAGGGGACCTACAAAACACCCCATGATATAAAAAATGTAATAAATTTTCATAAAGTCTCTTTTTTGTTTCTTTTTTGCCATTATTTTTACAAAAATATATAAAAATTTTGATGAATTATAAAAAATGATGGGGGAGGGGCCAAACGCAAAAACAAAACCTAAGAATGCAGCAAAAACAAACTAAAACAAAACAGACGTTAGTAGGACCCGTCCACCCCTGAAAATAATAAGAGTAGCTGCTGTATTCTGCTGATAGACAGAATCAAGAATCACACTCACTAATGGAGTGATAAGGATAAAAAAATAAATGATGGAATGGGAAAATCAAAGGCTGACCCAACCAAGGTGAAAAACAAAGGAGAAAAAAACTGGGGAGGTTGGGAAAATGAATCATAACAAAAGAGAATGCCGGGTACAGGCTGGGAGCAACACTTATTCACATTAACTAGGAAAACAAATAGTGTCTAACTTAATCAGGAGAGGGTTTCACAAGAAACCACTGTTGCATTAAGTGGACTTAAAAGAGAAAATCAAGGCTAGCCCCATTCACATGAACCAGGCTTGCCATACCCATCTTTTGCTGAAATCTGTTGATATCAAACGCTTTCTATCAGATCTGATCTTCATCCTGAGCTGATGCCCAAAGAATCCAATCAGATCTTGATGAGAATAACATTCATATTGCAAGATTCACTCATTTGTGATGTCCACACCACTATTCTTTAGCCAGATTACCAAAACCTTCATTACCTTACTCTCTCTCTCTCTCTATATATATATATATAAGGTAGGTTAGTAGCAATGTCCAGACATTATATTTTTTTTAAAAAGTGCTCAATACAGAGTAGAGCTTAACAATATTTATAAACAATTATAACAAAAATATGTTATTAACTGCTACATAAATGCAATCATGTTTCAGCACTACAGATTCTTCTTCAGGCAGTGATGGTCAACTGGATAATAAACATTTTATGGTTTAAAAGCAGTAATACATTCACAGGAAGTGGGAAGGGAAAAAGCTAAATTTCTAACATGCTAGGGATTGACCTAGATTAACCAATCAAATGTTGGACCTGTATTGGATTCCTATTGACTGCACAACTTATTTAAAACAAACTTAGACATTAACAGAGTGTTAAGTTTTATAATATTCTTTGGTCTCAATAAAACAACAAAGGCCCTCAAACATGGTTACTTATTGTAGGCATAAAATTTATTTCTAACCATAAACCTGTCAACACCATCAATATCAGTGGGCAGTAACAACTAGCTCAACAAGCCAAAGCACAATGTGGCAGAAGGGGGAGGATAGATGAGAAGGAAAGTAAGGGCAGCAGTTGCATGTTGTTGCTAATTAGTAAACCCATAGTAAGTAAGCCAATGTTACTTTTACATTATATCTAACGAACAGATACCCCTTAAACAGTCAAGGCAATCAAAATCCAACAGTTTAATTATAATAGACCTAGAAATCAGAAAGCAACAACAATGATGACCAATTTCCAATATTAACAGGGGGGAACAAGTAATTGTCCATATAGGATGTTAATAGGAAAAATAACCCCTGAACTCAGTTCATATATATATATATACACACACACATATATATATATATATATATAAAATACTAATAATCTTATTAATATAAGCAGCTATACTCGTCCAGCAAAACCTTAGGTGTTTTAGCTTGTAAATGAACAAACCAATACCCAAGGGAAAAAAAAGAAAGAACTAAGAACATGAACTTCCGGCGAAAATAATCGTCTAGATTCTAAGTTCAGCGTCCAAAGAAAAAAACCTCTGACACAAGTAAAGTAAAAATAACTAAGCAAAGTGCTCAATACACTAAGTAGAGCAAACTAATATATATATATATATATATGAATTGGTCTAGTCTGGTTAATTGAAAAATGTTCAGATGATTTCTTTATTTAAGATCCAGATAATCAAAGTATGGATAATTGAGGAATTGCTGCAATATGGTTTCAAAAAGAGGGTAGACTCTTAGATGAAGAGAGATGCAAGTTTGTTTTTCAATCATTTCAACCCAAGCAAGGTGATAATGCTACTAAGTATCTGTCTACATTTCTCAGATGAGGTATTGTGATTATTTACATTGTTCTGACTATTGTTTTCACCTTCATTACCATATTCACAACATTTTAGCCGTTGTATGCTCTGGCCTTCTTCAAGGACATATGGCCCAGTGGATAAAAATGTTGGTTGGATCCAGTGACTTGACCCAAAGAGTTGTGAGTTCAATACCTGGTGACTGCAGTGGTGAACAAAAACTTGGAGAGTTTAGTTAAAGGAAGATACCTGAGACATCTGGAAGAGGCATGACACATGAAACTAGCTCAAAAACAAAACTGCTCTCTATTAATCACCACAGAGATCCTTCCCTGCCCTCCATTAGAATGACTGACACTCAACTTCTCAAGAGCACCTCTCTACAGCTGCTCGGTCTCATGTTGACTGCTGATCTGAGATGGAACAAATACATTGAGTCAATTGCTTCGTCCACCGCAAGAAAAGTTGGCTCCCTGTGCCACGCCAGGAAATTTTTCTCCCCGGAATCGATCCTCCAGATCTACAAATCAACAATTCGCCCTTGCATGGAGTATTGCTGCCATATATGGT